TTGTATACTATTAAACATCAAAAAAAACCTAAAAATGAATCTAATTAGAACAAAAAATTAAAAACGAGAGTTATTTCTAAACCAAACTAGATGACTTAGCAACTAACCCAACCTATTTTGATAAAAGAAGTCATTCCAGAACAACAGCAAGCAAACATTATATCCTAACCTATCGTAACCAACTCTCCAAGACAAAGATGAGGACTTTTTGTTATCAATTTAGCTATATCATATAATATCATCATTGATTTGTTTAATTAAAAAACCAATACAACTTATACTCAAATATTTCAGATTCTCAAACAAAGACACAATCTTGCTAAAGTATTAAAATAACTCTTAATTATAGTGATAGAAGAATCTGAGTTGCTAAAAATCAAGTTAATTGTAAGACTACAGCAGCAAAGTATTATGTTAGGATCCAAAACAACCCAATTTTAGCTATATTAGATTCTGAAGCCACTATTAATATTTTATCAAAAAAATTGATTAATAAACTAGGTCTTACTATCAAAGAACCCTCTAGCATAGTGGTAGTTACTGCTAATAGCATAAGAGAAAAAGTATTAAGAACACTGCCAAACTTAAAACTATGTATTAAGAACATAATAATATCTACCAACTTCTAAGTTATCAAAAATAATAAAGAAATAATACTATTAGAAATAGACTAGTTCTAAAAAGTATATGCTCAACTCCATTTCAATAAAAAAAGTTAGTTCTCTAGTATCTGGGTAAATATATAGAGATTCCAACATATCAAGCAAAAGAAGATGACCTAAAACACTACTGAGTTTGGCAATAAAGAAGATAATTTTTTTAATATTTATGAGAAAGAAATGATAGAAAAAGTAGAAATTTATTCTACCAATAGATCTAATGATGATGAGGAACTATACATTAATCTTTGGAAGGATAAGTATAGTCTGGCTATATATTTAACATCAATTGAAGAAATATTCACCACTAGAAAAGAGGAGAACTCTGATACAATCTCTAAAAATGATATTAAGGAATTAGTACAAGTTGAAACTTTAAATGAAGAACAAAAAAAAAGCTACTTATCTTCTAAGGCAGTTTAGTGATTCATTTGCATCTAGGCTAGATCAACTGAGCCAAACTATAGAAATATAACACCAAATTGATACTAGCAATACAAAGCCTATTAAGCAATTGGTATATAGGATCTTATCTAATAAACAAGAATTTCTAGAGAAAGAAATCAAAAATTATTAGAAAATAGTTTAATTTATAAAGTCGAAAACCTCTGAACTTCTCTCATGATCATAGTCCTTAAGAAAAGTAGTAAATTACAGCTATGTGTCAATTATAGAAAATTAAATACTATAATGAAAAAAGATATTTACCTTTTACCACATATTGATGATATGCTAAGACTTTTGGAAAGACTAAATAGTTTTTCAGCCTCAACTTAGCCAGTGGGTATTGGCAAATACTAATGAAATTAGAAGATTAGAAAAAAACTGCATTTATAACGAAATATAGCATATATATATTTAATATCATGCTTTTCAGGTTATGTAATACACCTGTCATATTCTAAAGAGCAATGAATAATATTTTATATAAGTATATAGACAAGTTTGCATAGATAACATAAATATATATTTGAACACCTACTTGAAACACCAAAATTGACAGACAGGTCTCAAGTTAAATTCAAAAAATACTAACTATTTAGAGCAAATATATAATTTCTTGGTCATATGGTAGAAAGGGATGGCATCCAAGCTTATAAAGAAAAAATTAATAAAGTTAAAGAATTCTCAACTCGAATCTAAAGCAACTACAGAGGTTTATAAGCCTTGTATCTTACTACTGTAGATTCATTCAAGACTTTATGACTACAGCCAAACTCTATATAAATTGTTAGAAAAAAGTGTTAGTTATGAATAAGAACCTTTGCAAGAACAAGCATTTTAGGTATTGAAAGGTCATTTAACTCCAGCACTAGTATTAAGATACTTGAATTTTAGAAAACCTTTTATTTCTATACAGATGTATCCAAGGTTGCTCTCAGTATCATATTAGCCCAAAAGGATGAAAATAAAAGAAAATATACCATTGTATATGTTAGCAAAAGTTTAACCAGAGCTGAAAAGAACTATTTGACAACAGAGTTAGAATGCTATGCTATGGTCTGGATGATAAAATATTTCTATTCATATCTTGGATATAAATACTTCATGATTATCACTAATCATAGCACTCTAAAATGGTTACAAATAATAACCCTAAAAGGATGATGAGGCTGATGAATCCTGAGATTTTAGCTTTATAATTTTACTATAATACATTAGGCTGATCGAAGACATAACAATGCAAATGCCTTATCTCGAATAATAGAAGAATAATTTTAAAATCATCCCAACTAAATCTAGAAAACCAGGCTGATAGTTCAAGTGAAAAAATAGAGATCTTCTGTATAATAGCAAAAAATTATTTTGATAAAAAAATTGTGAAGAAAGATGAAGTTTTATGAGCAAATATTAAAGAAATATAGAACAATATGTGGTCAATAAATGGGATAAAGAGGTGTTTTATCAATATCTGAAAAATAAAAAACAATATAGAGAATTAGTGTAGCACTAAATAAAGAATTCTATAGAGAAAGAATCTAGATAACACAAATAAGATATTACTTTCCTGATAACTGTAATGACAAAGCCAATGTAATAGATATCGATGATAAATATCTAATTGATTTATCAAAGTAAACTAACAACAAGTTGGAATTCAACAGTGATTATGAGATCTATAACCTGGGTTACACTCATAATTTTTATCTGGGTTATAGCAAATGTTGATGAAATATCAACATTGAGGAAGAAATGTTCTAAAGTGCCAGAATCAACTCTGTAAATCCTGAATGGTTGCTACCTCTGGATGTATCAATAAATTAAAACTATTATATCAATTAGAATAAAGGATTAGTAAATTAATTAATTAAAATTAAAAGTAATATATATATATATATATAACTTAACTTGTAGCAAATCTGATGATAGAGTGAGGTTGGTCAAGATGGGATAGGGTGAGTTGTGGGGCCTATTCAAAAAGATAATAACAGTTAAGATTTTGAGATCTTATAGGACCACAAAATTACATGATCCAAAAATAAGTAGCAGACCTGAAAATAGAAAGAGGTAAATATTAGTAAAAAAAAAATACAAAAAAGAGAGAAGCACAGTATTAAAAATATTTTCAAGAAAAAGATACTTATCCAAGTTGAAATAACTCTCGTTTTTAATTTTTTGTTCTAATTAGATTCATTTTTAGGTTTTTTTTGATGTTTAATAGTATACAA